GGGGGGGGGGGGGGGGCAGAATCTCACCGCATGTGTGTGTGAGGCTCACTGTCTTCATTGCGGGTGAAGTAATGGCAGAAGCGGCAGCATTGCCGTGAACGCACGGGAGTGGGTCGACACCGAAGCTCCTCCTTGTGGAATACTGCTATACTGCTATACATGATGGCTCGGCGAGCGCCGCGCTAGTTGTCAGCGCCCCCATATCATCGGCCCACCACTTCCCCACAGCCGCAACCGCGGTCTTAGGGCCGTTTTAAACACGCCAAATAATTTTCCAAACTTCCAAAGTTCCGAAATATTTGGAACTTGTGTGTAGGCGTTTGTCCAAACTTTTCAAAATAGTTTGGAACGAAGTCGGGCCAGAAAGTTTGGCGCCAGTTCGTTTCAAAGTTTGGAACTCTTTTTGGACACTTTTCCAAACTTTAGTGCCGAGCACATGAGGGCTGCAAAGTGTTGAACCACGAGTTCCCCTCGCAACAGAACGCCAGCTAGGGTTGTTCTTGGGTGATGGCTGACCGTAGAAAGCGGGGCGTGCCTGCAGATTCGGCGGGCTGTCCTCGCCCGCCGGCACGAGCAAGGCACACAAACAATGCCGATGTGCTGAGGAAAATGAAGGCTGTGGCGGCAATAGTGCTGGTGCTGACTGTAGTTACAACGACGGTCGTTCAGAGCTTTGCCCCCAAGGCACGGCTACCTATCCATGAGCCGCGGCGCTTGGACTAGGAAGAGCATGTGAGAGACATCAAGCGCAGGGGGGGTGTTCAGGCGCATGTACCGGATGGAGGAGCACAGCTTACAAACTTGCGGAGCTGCTGCGACCAATCCTGGAGAGCAACGACTTCTATGCAAGTGAGCGAGAGGAAAGACAGAGAGAGGGACAGAAGGAGGGCTAGGAATAGAGCGAGAGAGACCTTGTAGGTGGCGGGGGCGGAATTGCTTTTTCTCGGGTATGCGTGTTGTGCGGTGTTGAAGCCTGTCTCGATGCTGGGCATGTCTGTGTCCAATTTCTAGCTACCAATTCCGGCCGAACTTTTTTTTTCCGGCACCACGAACGACCTCCGACACTCGCTATCATGCAACGCCCCCCAGAGGGTTAGGAACGTGGGCACGTTGAATGACACGGATAGTCTATAACGTGCTTGGTTGCGCCTCCACGTATGTAGCTTACACATGGTGTCATGCTGCCATTGTTTTGTTTTATGGGATGCAGGGAAGCGCACGCGCAGCGGAGCTGTGCCGGTAAAAATTCGTTTGGCGGTGGCGTTGCGCATGCTGGCAGGAGCATCATACCTAGATGTCGCGGTGCTGTTCGGCATTGCGAAGGAGACTGTATTCCACGTCTTGTGGGAAGTGGTGGACGCGATCAACAACACGCCGGAGGTCGGGGCGTTCTTTTTCCCTCAGACAAGGGATGATTGCGCCCGGCAAGCGAAGGAGTGGGAGGTGGGTAAAACGTGTGTGTGGTATTTTTTTCGTGTTTATCCGTTTGTGTCCTCATCATGGATGACTTCACCGCCTACTTGTCCCGCGCCCTCGTTTTTTTTCGGTAAGGCGGGTATCTTTCCTGTCATCGCGAAGGCAAGCGTTAACTTCATACAGTGTCGTGTTTTGTTTTGTACTCTTGTTTCAGCAACAGCATTCGGCCATACTCCTTCTTCAATCGAAACCCGAACCACGCGGGTTCCATCTCGTGTCACCCACCCGGTTGCGCTGTCGCCCCCGGCCTTGTTTCCGACTGCGACATAGTACAGCGAGAGGCAACTAGTTGAGTTCCCCGGATTGAGTTGTGGCTCATTTCGTGTAGTAGAAAACTTAGTGGATACAGAAGGAGGGAGAAGCGAGGCCTCGAGAAACTAAGCAACCTGGTCCCATGAATATCTTCTACCGGTCTGCGAACCACATGCAACCACCGCAGCGATCTCAGATCCATTTCGTTCTCGAACACCCAGCCCGTGCAGATAAGTCTTTTTTTTTTTTTGCATGGGTGCACTTTTTGCATGGGTACACGTTTTTGCCGATGAGTGGAACGACCGAAGAGCCCATTCGCCTGCATGTCTGTCCGAGCCGTGGTCCGAATCTCTTCAAAACGATCGCTGATGGCCCGCGACCCACCTCCCACCGCCGCCGGCTCTCTTGTCGCCTCTTGCCGACTGTCTTTTTCCGGAACACTCATCCCTCCCTTGCAGGCCAAGAGCACCGGCGGCGTATTCTCCGGTTGTGTTGCTGCTGGAGATGGCCTGTTCGTCAAGACCATCGCCCCGTCTCCGGTGGATACCCCGAACGTGCTCTCCTACTTTTCCGGGAACAAGAGTGGGTACGGGTTGAACATCCAGGCGACCTGTGACGCCAACTACCGCTTCTGCAGCATGTCGGCCATTTCGGCCGGTGCGACGAATGACTGGACAGCATGGAATCGTTCTTCGCTGTCAGACTCGGTGGCGCGCCTACCGCCTGGGTACTACGTGCTAGGCGACGCGGCGTACCCTCTCAGCGATCATCTCCTCACGCCGTAC